TAGCAATCTGTTCGAAAACAAAAGAAAAGGTCCAAACGTTTTTAGGAGCTCAGCCTCTGGGCCTGAATCTGGCCCTGGTCCTAAAACGTGTACCTGGCCACAAAACGGACAACAGTACAACCGTTAGAAAAACAGCAGCAAATAAATAAATAAAAGAATATAAAAATAATCTAAAGCTGGCGTTTTTCTGATGCAGGCCCAAGTAAGAATGCCATAGGGCCTTCAGGTTGCGGTCACGCGACCTGGGGGCCCTATTCTAACCTCAGGTCCCGTGAGGGGAACGTGTGTAGGCTTTCAGCATGTAACACGCCCCCCTCCTTATGAAGACGAGCCAGGGCGCAGGCGAAGCTGACGATCCGATGGCGGAATGTAGCGAGGAAGGCGAGGAGCTGAAGTGCTCGGCGTAGTCTTCCCTTTGCTAAGATAACGTGAGAGAACGGCGGGAGCTGTGGCCTGCAGTTCCGAACGCGTCAGCCAATGGTCAGCCTTGTGGCTGCAGTAGGAAAAGTGAAGTAGAAACTTTGTTTCTTTGTTGCCATGGCACCGGTCGGTGATGATGTAGCCGGCCTCCTGAAATCCGTCCATGGAAGGAGGGTCTTGCGTACGTCGACCGTGAAACTCGTTGGACTCCGTTGAGACGAAAGGAGCGAGTTCGGAGCAGTGGAACACCGTGTGGACGGGCAAGTGAGGTGGCACCGCGATGCGGAATGAAGGCCCCTCGAGATCATCACCAACTGCAGAGAGAATGCGCCAAGGCCCCATCCACTTGGGAAGGAGCTTGCGAGAGATGTCTTGCTCGAGGCTGAACTCCGCGGCGGAGACCCAAACCAGATCGCCGGCGCAGAATGGGCAAGGAAGGCGATTGCGGTTGGCTTGACAGCTCATCCGTATTTGCGTCTTCGACATCTGATCCCGTGCCTTGACAAGAAGCTCTTGCATGCGACGAAAGAACGCAAGATGGTCGTCGCTTTCGGCTGTGCGCGGCAAAGTGGCGTCCAGCGGCGATGAGATGGGTTGCGTGATAGCGGCAAGGCAAAAACATGGCGTACTTGGTGAGGCGGTCGACGACCGTGAGGATCCCATCAASGCCGGTCTTGTGCTTCGGAAAGGGGCCGGTGATATCCATAGCAATTGCTTCCCGTCGCCCAAGGGGCACTGGTAATGGGTGTAGCTCGCCGAACGGACGATGGTTGCGTGACTTGCAATGCCGACAGACTTCGCACGACTCACAATAGCGGGTGGCGTCCTTGAGAAGGTCGGGCCAATAGAACCGCTGGCGAAGTCGGCCAAGTGTACGGTTGACACCAAAATGTCCGGAGGC